AAGCGCCTCGCCATGGTCCTCTCTGGTCACACACCATGAGGAAGGGGAGCCATGCCCAAAGGACCAGTGGAAAGGATGGCGGTAACTTTATGCCTCTGTGTTAGTTCGCTAACACACCTACTAAAATTGGAACGATACAGAGAAGATTAGCATGGCCCCTGCGCAAGGATGACATGCAAATTCGTGAAGCGTTCCTCATTTTTGGCACCCCTGTTGTGCCATGGGATGCTCTGGTGCCACACACTCGATGGAATTGCTTTCTAAATTTGGTTTGACCTGTGCTTAAATGGTATTCTCCGTCTGCTGCGGCTTTATTTCCACGCAAAAAACCACTACGTGAAACTCGGCGCGCTCGTCTGTTGAGCAAGAGGTTAGTGATTCGAGCACAGCAAGGGACGCTCTGTCATATGTAGCAACCTTGTGTTGGATGCAATGAATGGACTTTTGTGTTGAAACCTTGTTCCTATACCGGGAGTTGAACCCGGGCCGCCTGGGTGAGAACCAGGAATCCTAACCGCTAGACCATATGGGATTCACCAGGTAAAAAAACACAAGAGATTGTGCTCCGCACTAGACTTGTGACCCAACACTGCAGCGGCAAGTGATTGCAATTGCTCAGCCTCAAGTATTCAATATGAGAGCAAAACATTCCCTTTGAAAGTGCTACCAGAGTTTTTTTTCCAAATTACAATTTGCTCAACATCTTTTTCTCGGAAATGTTGTTCCATGCATCCAACCGGAAAAAGGGTCTTTAGAGGTTATTTTGTCTTTTGCAAGACGGGAGAGGTGTTGTCCAGGGGCCTTGAGACCAATGCTTTATGTATCTCAGAGAGGGCTTGCATTGGCCGGGAATCGAACCCGGACCTCCCGCGCGGCCGCCGAGAATAGTTTACCTAAACAGAGCTAAACCATTTTCAACGGTAGTGGATGGGTAAAAGTTTCATGCGTCACTTCCGGTGCCAGCGGAAGTGACGTGTGCGCGCTGCTCTAAAACGGAGAGAGCCGGCTTTCTCCATTCATTGTGGATTACACACGCACTCGGTAAGTCTCCTCTGATAAACACTAGTGATGGCAATATGAAGCCCCATGAAGCCTTGAGGGTTTGCAGCCTATTACTCGGCCCATGAGTCGAAGGCTCGCGGTGAAGCATGCTCCACTACGCCATCATGTGGACAAAGAAATGTAATACATGCCAAGGGCCTATAACAAATGGTAGGGTCTGAACATGGGCTAAAAGAATACAGCCAATGATGTGGAGACAGTTGTTATGTAAAATGTGCTTGTGTTACTTTGTTTATGTAAGTGCTTATGCAACTATTGACAGGAGTTGAAAAACAAACAATACAGTTATTCATTTTTATTCAAAAATAATAATTTTTCAAGAGTATTTGGACTCAGGCGATTTCTTTTTTTGCACAGTATTTCACCTGCCTTTGAAAAAACCCGTTCACAGGGCACAGAGGATGCAGGTGAACATAAATATGTAATAGCAAGTTTATATAAATTTGGAAATGTAAACTTATGTTTGTCCCAATATTGAAGGGGACTTTCGAGTCGAGGAATATTTGGCTCCCCCAGGTATGTTTGGACCTCCACTGTAGCGTTGGCAGTTATGTTTGGGGTTTTGGTCTGCTGGCATGTCGTGTCAAAACGTTGCCACAGTTTGCTCCCTAAAACAGAATAAACAGGTTATGAGTGACTTATTAGCACAAATAGAGTATACATATTACCTTCAGCTACAGATGATGAAGGTGGTGATGATGATGATGATGATGATGATGATGATGAAGCAGAAGCGGACAATGAACGTCTCAAAACTCGAGCACATTCGTCAATCAATCTTTTTTCAGCTTCTGCTGCCTTATTGGGGTTGAAGAATCCAATCTTTTTAAATCTGGGATCAAGCAAGGTAGAGAGGGACATGATGCTCATTGATTGGAGGTGGCTGAGCTTGTCCCTCAGTTGGCTTCGCAAATACTCAGCCATGTCTCTGCTCTCAGGTGTTTGGATATGGCCGATCTCCTCTTCTTCCAGAGCATTATGGAGAATGGTCAAAAGTGGAACTACTTTTGACCCAGAGACACTTTTCTCCTCGGACACCTCAATTGTGGCATAGTAGAACGGAGCGAGCACCTTCAGACAGTCTGCAATGATGTTATATTGTTCTGCTGAGATTTGTGTAATGTCTGTACGGAGCCCAGCCAAAGCTGCTCCAACAGGCTCTCTCAGGTTGAACAGACGCTGAAGCATTAAGTATGTGCTGTTCCATCTTGTATCCACCTCTTGAATAAGTTTAAGCACGGAGAGACCCATTTGTGATTGGATCTGTGTAAGTCTCTCCTATAAAACAGTCAACATATTAAAACAGTGCAGGAGCAGAAATAATAATTGACATATTACAAGTAAGGACCTTACCTTTGCAGTAGTGCTGCTCTTAAAGTATCCTACTATCTTACGACAGTTTGTCCTGATGTCACACAACACAGGACTTTGGTTGAGAGCTTTTTTGATCATTAAGTTAAGCGTGTGTGCCACACAAATTGTATGACGCAGATGCAGCTCTCGAGCACAAGCTCCCATATTCGCAGCACCATCAGTCACCAGACATGTCACCTTTCCTGCTAAACCCCACTCTGACATAAGAGAGGTCATCACTCTCGCTAGATTTGCTGCTGTATGTGCCTCAGGGAAATGCTGCACCCCAAGGACAACAGTCTGCAGAGAAGTGCTCTCGTCAATAAAATGACCAGTCACTGCAAGATAGGCATCAGTGTTGATGGAGGTCCACATGTCTGCTGTTAAACTAACAGCAGATGCAGAAGACACCACCACTTTGGCCTTGTCTTTGGCTTCCCTGTATCTCTTCTCCACCATGGCTTTCAAAGTCTGAAAAAAGTAAAGTCTTGAAATAGTGGATCTGAGGATAATAAATTGTTAATAGTTCACATAAATACCTGCCGCGTGGGAAGAACACAAGATGGTGCCAAAGCTTTCACAAGCTTTCGGAAGCCAGTTCCCTCCACAATGGAAAAGGGCTGGGAATCCTCAATCACCATATCCACCAACGCCTCAGTCAAGTCAACCATCTCAGCTGAAAGAAAATGCACATTAGGGTTAGAAATGTATCTAATGAACAAATACATTCAAATAAAATATATTTAGTGTAATTGTAGGACAATCATCAATTATTATCATGATATAAAATGGCCTACCCGAGACAGGTTCACCTGGGTTGGAATCCACAATGCTATGCAAGGCACGATAGTGCCTTAGCATAGCTGAGGTGTTATTATTATAACCCAGTTGTTTGGAGCATAACAGACACTTCACCTGCAATTGAAAAAACTATTATTCAAACGTATTTATAACAGAGAAAAGTGAGCAAGAGAAATTATGTGTTGTCATATTTGTGTAATCTATTATTACAGAATTATTGATATGCCTTACCTTACTAGGTGAGATCTGCTCAAAGTGCTCCCAAACTGGAGAAAATCTTCTCTTTCTTGCCGGTTCCATCGCAAAAAAGAAGCTCAAATAGGATGCCAAATGAGAAGCGCAATAACCCAAAAACACACAAAGTGATGAAGGGGAATCCATTGCGTTCACTCGTCCCTTTTATTTCGAACCGCGCTCCAAACCAACGAATCATTTCCTGAATCAGTCACGTGGTACGGCCGTTCGCGAGGCTTCGAACGTCATCACACACGTGACCAATACACGCCTCGACCCACACTTCACAAGAAACGCCCCCAGATTACTCGGTCCACGCTTCGAAGACTCGGTCCGCTCAGCACATCACTAATAAACACAATGTTTTTGTGCTCGTTCTTTATGTTTCACTCCATAAATCTCTCATATTGTGCGTAGATCGTTCACACACGTCTGTAGTTTAAATCTCGAGTGTGCAGTGCGCTGTTTATGATTGTTTACCTCCGTGTCATATGTTTGTTGCTGCTGCTGCTGCTGCTCGTAGATCTCTCTGTTTGGATCAATATTGTAAAGAAAACACTTTCTCTGCGTTGTCAAACAATCTGTATTCACTGTATTCTACTGAATACAGTAATGCAGTTTGTTTACGTCTGGTTGTAGTAGTATTTCCAGCGCTAGTTAACGCAGTGTTTTGGGATGTACACACGTGAGCTAAAGCACACTGTATACAGATCAAATGCACTTTTAATAAGCTTAATGCACACAGTTGTTGTAACAGGCTGTGTATAAGTGCTGCTGTGAGTTTGGCTCAGTGTTGTCACTGCTCTTTCTCTGTTCACTTACTATTGTCTCATAAACGTGATTTAAGGCTAATAATGTGTGACAGGCATAGTACTGTTAGTCACATGATGCCAAAATAAGTGTATAATACAGTTTGCTCCATCTGTTGTACTGTAGTGTACAGTATGCTTATCGTTGATGTGTGTACTATCTATATGTATTTCACATTTCTATAGTTCAGCAACACATTGAGTTGAAAATGAATTATATGCAGTTAGTTTACGACAATGTATTAGTGTTTTACCAGTTCATATTTTCCTTCTATAACTGTACTTACTGTATCCCAGAGCCTCATGCTGCTAATGTCCAGATGTAAACATACAACTGTATATGTCTTCTCTAGATTATACAGGATTCATGCTTCTTTATTATGCTAAAGATATATACATTATACATACTTCTCTATCATGCTATAGCTAGATATTTTATGATCTTTTTTTGTTGTTGCAGACAATATGAAGACATTTTCATTCTTTCCTGGCCGCGTCACTGTGATTTTTCACAAGGGCCCACGTGGATTCCTGCTGCAGGACCCTTCGGAGGAGGCGAGGAAGATCAGGGACGACCCGTCCATGACGGAGTGCGGTGCTCCTCTGAGGGAGGAGGTGGTGAGGGAGAACGCCCTCACTCTGGTGCGAGTGAGAGGAGGTGATGCCTCAGACAAGGCTGAAGTGCTGGGGGAGTACATCCTCCAGTTCGGGAAGTACAGGGGGAAGTCTTTCAGGTGGCTGATGCAGAATGACGTGGGCTACACAGTCTACCTCATCAGGAGTCAGCAGAAAGAGGAGGCAGCAGGAGTCGTGGTGCCGGAAAGACACAGCAAGGACAGCCTCCAGTCCTTCATCAGCTACGCCCTCAGCTTCCGGGAGATCGCTGCTCTCCTCCAGTACGAGGCTCAGAGACCAGCTGCTCCAACACCACTCTGTGAAGACGAGCAGCTGGTGGACTTCGGAGCCCGTGCCAGCAGCACCTGGAGGCAGGTGTGGGACAGCAGGGAGGATGGCTATGCAGCCTTCATCCTCAAGAGAAAGTGTGCTCCAGGGACCAGGATGTTCAAGCTGCAGCAGTACCTGCAGAGGAAGCAGCAGCAGCTGTCTGCCTCTGTCCCGTCCTCTGCCCCTTCTGATGGGTCATTGGGTTAGTGAAAACACCATATGACACTGTGATTACTCTAAAAATGCATATGTAGCATGAACTAATGTCTACACCACACTTGTAAATGTGTTGACACACATATAGTTGATTAGTCACATTGTTTTTCTGTGTCTACAGTTATGGCTGAGGACGAAGAGCTGGAGAAGGCTATGCTCAGCATGTCGCCAACAAAAAGAGTGGATATGAGTATGTTTAACTGTATTGTCATAGTGCAGTCTTTTGTGGACATTGTGCTAAAATACATATTCTTACATTCAGCAGTGTTTGTGCCAGCACCAGCCCCTACAAAGCGCCAGCAGCCCTCGGGTTCACAGAGAAGTTCACTGGCGTCCAAAGGCCCATTTGGGACACGTTCTGTCCTGTGCGTGAGTTCAATTGTTGTTGACCACGTTCCGGTCCTCTTCTGCTTCTGTTCTTCCATGTGTGTTCTGTCTAAAGTCCAAGTGACTATGAATTGATACATCTGCGATGAGGGTAAGTCCTTTTTTATTTTGCATGTGATGATGGATGATGGTGAGTGATGACTTAATGTTTGATGTGAAAGCTTCCCCTGCTCAAAAGATTGTGGGTCTACTCTAACCTTCAAGGCAAAAGTATTGTAGAAAAGTAAAAACCCATTTGAGCAGGAGATGTTGAATGTTTGTGTGTTTCTTTACTAATATGCAATGATGGAAAGAAGCAGCAAAAGCAAATACTAATTTTGTATTTATTTATTTTCTGTCTACAAATAGCTGCACAGTCCACACGGCCTGCGACATGTCATGACGGTAACGGCTCATGCTGCTTATAGCTCATTGTTCATTGTCAATATAACGATACTAACACACCTCCTTTCAGCTGCTCCTGCTGCAGGGGCCTCTAAAGTTACCGTGCCCCTTCCAAAGGAGCTGATGTTTCTCCTGCCACAGTCTGGAAGTGCTCCAGGTCTGAAACTGTAACATCATGATACGTCTGTGTGTACTCTATGAAGTTAACTCTATGAAGTTGTTTTATATGTGTAGCTGTTTCAGCTTTAGAGGCTGCATCCTCTCCTGCAGCATCCACAGAGCCTGCTCCAACTGCAGAGATAAGTAAGAGTGAGTAAGATCGATGTGTTTTACAATGTTCAAATGTATGCATTATACATAGAATACTGTTGTAGACTCTCAAATACTGTACTCAGTGTTTGGGACTAACACAAGGCTATTTTACATCTCAACACATTGGTAAAGTTTTATTATACTATATTTCAATGTGGTTTCTTACGTTGCTAGGCCCTCCATCAGTGCAGCCTCCAGCCCAGCCCACAGCTGCCATCCACAGGCCTGCTCTTCCTCCACCTCAGCTGTTTCCTCTGGAGCAGGAGGTAAAGCAATGGGCCTGCTCTCACCAGCAGAGGACATGGATGAAGCTGGAGCTGGAGTCCATGGGTCTTTGGCCTGGTTCCCGCCCTGTCAGCAACCCTATGAAGACCTTTTCTCTGTGGCGCCTCCCCCCCCAGCCTGAGCTCATCGACAGCGTCCATAAATTGCCTTCCCCCAAGTATTTTCAGCTCCATCCATTTTTCATCTGGAAGCCGGAGAACGAATACTTGATGGGAAGGCTGCAGAACAACGAAGCCCTGCCCTGCCTAGGGGACTGTGCGGTGCCGTCTGTTGTGTCTGCAGGTGTGGGCAGACCGCGGGTCGTAGTGGGCACCACCGGCCACTATTACCTGCTCTCATCCAGGCTGTGCTGCAAGAGGTGCCGTAGGAGGTGGTATGCAGACAACCCTCTCTGGCTGGACAAGCTGCCCCAGAGGTTTACCAACCTGTTGCCTGCGGTACTGACCTACAAGAAGGCCATCTGTAAGACAGTCCTGGATGAGCTGAGGAGAACGGGGAAATCCCCTTCAGACATGGCCAACCAAATTAATGAAATGCTCAAATATGAGCGTGCCAACCTGGCCTACCTCCTCTGCTGCCAGACAGTAATGGACGGTGAGGTTGGAGCATTTGGCCAGAAGACCATCACCGGATTCTTTCGGAAGGAGAGCAAACCGGAGTCTTTTGGGGCATACGGTGATGCCGATGGTTGGAATGGTGTGGCTGTGTCTTCCTTCTACCTCACTGACTGCCTGCTGCAAGAGTTCCAGCACCAGAAGGGCCCCATACAGAGGCTGCTGCAGGGAACATTTGGCCAGGCTCTGCGCTCAGACCAAACCCGCAAAGTGGCCAGGAAGGTCACCTTCTCTTCCGGCGCCATGTCCTCGTACGCTGTGATGAATGAGAACTGGATGATCTTATCATGGGTCATGGTGCAGTCTGAGACAGAGAAAAGCCTGCGGCCAATGTATGCAGGTCTCTCCAATCGCTACAGCAAGGCTGGGATCGAGAAGGCCCTCTTTCAGTGGGTGGACAGGTGAGGCTCACTATTCATTACATATGAGTCACTGTGGCTCTCTAAAATGACATGTAAATGTAATGCTGCTTATTTTGGCCTTCAGGGATTGCTGTGCGGCTTTTAGAGTGGCGGGGTCAGCACCGGGGGAGCATTGAACTGGGACGTGTGGAGAACAGCTGACACCGTTATCGCTGAGGTCACTTCAGGGAACCTGTCAAATACATGTGCTTCTAGGTCCCACTACAACAGCAGCATTATCATCAAGCTGGACTTGTTTCACTGCATGCGACGGTTCCTCCGTGAGTGTGCCTCTGAGCATCACCCGCTCTACAGCTCCTTCTCGCAGTTCCTCTCGGCTGCCTTCTGTGTGGTGGATCAGGAGGACCTGCAGAGGCTCAAGGAGGCATATGTCTTCTGTGGGATTATGCCTCCGAACCCCACCAAGCAGCACATCCGTGAGCACTGCAGGTTAATGATTCCTCCACCCAGTGAGCTCGTGGAGAGGGTGGAGGGCGTTCTCCAGCATTTCCACCAGGCCACGGACCCAAACAACATCCCCCTGTTTAAGCCCTCCATGCTGCAGTGTTTGAGGATTCAGCGGGTCGACATCCTGCGCGGCTGCCTGAGTGACCCTGAGGTAGAGGGCGGGATACTGTACCGTAACGGAGGAACTCTGCAGCTCAACCACGTTCCTGGAGAAGGTGCAAAGGTCCCTGTCTGAATCCCCATCCGTGGCACCTCTCAGCAGGAGGGCTATCATTTCCCCAGGCCCAGTGGGTGACGGGAACACAGGCCTCCCCAGAGCTGTTCCAGGCCCAAGGTCTAACAGGAGTGTGCCGCTGGAACTTTCAGCGCCTGGTGGACCTAAAGCAGCCTGGTGTGTGTCTGCCCTCAGTGTTTGATCCTGCCCTCATGCAGTCTCTAAACACTGTCTCCAAACGGGTCCTGGGAGAGGAGAAATACCCTGCTCTTCGCCTATCAGCAGAGGACACAGGAGAGAGGTTTGGGCTGGAGTATGTAGAACCAGAATGTCGCCCTGTCCCTTTAGACTGGGACAAACATAAAACCAAAAAGGACCTTGGTGGACAGAGCACTACTACTCCATCCTCCTGCGAGCTGCCGGCCTCCACATCAGAGGCAGCTCTGTCGTCCTCTGCTGCTCCAACCAGGCTCTTTGGCTTCTCTACACGTCAGGCTGGAGTGGACTCGGAGACAAATAGTAAATGTGTTGTACTAGTACTTGTTGTAAACACATGTTGCCTTCTGTTTCCTTTACTAGTATCCGAACACACGCCTGGTGTCCACACCTACCCTCAGCATCCTCATCCTACAGCCTCATCTACAGACTGCTGTTTGGTTTGACATACTTCTCTTTACGTCTCACTATGCCAGCTGGCATAGATAGACTAATGTACTCAAGAGAGAAGTTACTGGCACTAAGAGACAATACCAAGACTACTTTACGCCATATGATTCCACTGGAGCTAAGGCGAAAGTACCGGGGCTGCCGTGCCGGTCGTAAACTGAAGGATAAAATCAAGGCTAATATTGCCAAACGGAGGATTTTTAAGCCACCCATTCCCTCTGTTGTCATGGGGAATGTTAATGCCCTATCTAACAAGCTGGATGAACTTACCGCGCTGATCGGGAGCCAACGGAGCTACAGAGAGAGCAGCCTACTCATCTTCACTGAGACATGGCTAACTAGCCACGTACCCGACGCTAACGTAGACCTGCCCGGCTTTTCCACCGTGCGGGCTGACCGGGATCCTAGATCTAGCGGGAAAAGCAAAGGCGGGGGCCTTATCCTGTATGCGAACAAGCGGTGGTGCCATCCGAACCATCTGACTGTGAAATCTGTGATATGCAGCCAGGACTTGGAGCTGCTAGCTGTTAGCCTCCGGCCGTATTATGTTCCACGTGAGTTTTCACACGTCATCGCGCTCTGTGTTTACATTCCTCCCAGGGCTGATGCAGAGACAGCACGTGAGTCCATACACAATAACATTGCGGCACTTCAGTCCCAGCATCCTGAAGCATTTCTCCTCATATCTGGTGATTTTAACCATGTCACTTTGGACACTACTCTAGCCTCCTTCCATCAATATGTCAACTGTACCACAAGGAAAAATAGAACATTAGATCTGTTATATGCAAACACTAAGGATGCATACTCAGCTTCTCCCCTTCCTCCTCTGGGCAAATCCGACCATAACCTTGTCTACCTGCAGCCCACATACACCCCTGTGGTGAAGAGGCAAGTTGTAACAACTAGGCAAGTCAGGAGGTGGTCTTCTGAAGCTGAGGATGCACTCAGAGACTGTTTTTCCACCACAGACTGGAGTGTACTGGTGGGGTCTCATGGTGAGGACATTGAGGGGGCAGTGGGGTGCCTGACTGATTATTTGAACTTTTGCATGGATCAGGTGTTACCTGTTAGAACAATCCAGTGCTTTGAGAACAATAAACCATGGATTACCGCTGAGGTGAAGAACGTTCTGAATAAGAAAAAGAGGGTTTTTGGAAGCGGGGATTGTGAGAAGATAAGAGAGGTACAGAGGGAAGTTAGAATCTGCCTGAGGGACGCTAAGGAGTCTTACAGAAGGAAGCTGGAGAGAAAGTTGAGAGATAACAACATGCGGGAGGTTTGGAGTGGAATGAAAACCATAACAGGCTGTGGCAGTAAGAGCAAGGTGGACTGTATGGATCTACAGAAAGTGGAGCAGCTGAATACATTTTTCAATCGTTTCAGTTCCTCCCAGACCACCTGCCTGCCCCCACAGCCCTTCCCTGTTTCCTCTGATGATATTCATCACGCTGCTCATCCTCTTGCCTCTTTTACGCTCCCTCAGGTGCCTGTCACACACACCTCAACTCCTGTTACCATCACAGCAGACCAGGTGACGAGGCAGCTGCAACTCATACGCCCAAGGAAAGCTGCAGGTCCTGACAGGGTCTGTCCTAGGCTACTGAGAACGTGCGCTGCTGAGCTGGGAGACCCCCTACAGCAGGTCTTCAACCTAAGTTTGCGGCGCGGGAGAGTCCCTTCTCTATGGAAGACGTCTTGCATCGTCCCGGTCCCCAAGAAGGGACGCCCTCTGGTGCTTAATGACTATAGGCCAGTCGCTCTTACATCGCATGTGATGAAAACTTTTGAGCGACTGGTCCTGCAGATCATGCGGCCCCAAGTGGAGGCGACGAGGGATCCTCTTCAGTTCGCCTACCAGGAGAGGGTGGGGGTCGAGGATGCAGTCCTCTACCTGCTACATCGTGCCCTCACATACCTGGATGTGGGAGGGTGCATTGTGAGGATGCTTTTCTTTGACTTCTCCAGTGCTTTTAATACCATCCATCCCATCCTTCTCCAGGAGAAGCTCACCATCATGGATGTGGACCCTCTTCTTGTGCGTTGGGTCACGGATTATTTAACCGACAGGCCCCAGTACGTGCGAGGGGGGGGGGGGGTACTGTAGGTCCTCAACAGTGACCTGTAGCACGGGTGCACCGCAGGGCACTGTGCTCTCGCCCCTCCTCTTCACCCTCTATACGAGTGACTTCTGCTACAACTCTGAGACATGCCACATGCAGAAGTTCTCAGATGACACTGCAATCGTGGCATGCGTCAGGGGGGGTGATGAAGGGGAGTATAGAGGCTTGGTTGAGAACTTTGTGGAGTGGAGCCAGCAGAACAAGCTTCTTTTAAACTCAGCCAAAACTAAGGAGGTGGTGCTGGACTTTCGCCGGGCACCACCCTCTCTGCAGCCCATTATTATCGAGGGAACTGCGGTGGAAGTGGTTTCCACCTATAAGTACCTGGGGCTGCAGCTGGACAACAAGCTGAGCTGGGCAGCCAACATGGACGCTGTGTACAAGAAGGGGCAGAGTAGGATGTACTTTTTGAGGCGATTGGCATCTTTCAGGGTCTGTGATAAGCTTCTCTACATGTTTTATCAGTCTGTTGTGTCTAGTGTCCTTTTCTATGCAGTTGTCTGTTGGGGGGGCAGTGCACGAAAGAGGGACACTGAGAGGCTGAACCGGCTCATTAGAAAGGCGGGCTCTGTGGTGGGTCTGGGCCTGGATTCAGTGGAGGAGGTGGTAGAGCAAAGAACGCTCTCCAAGATCAG